TGTGTGTGTGTGTGTGTGTGTGTTCGTCTGTCCGGGTATTTCAACCCGACAACCAAGCAAGTTGCAGTGTCAAGATTTGGCTAGTAGGTTCCCCGGCCAAGTTCCACCCCACATCCTCGGTACCAACCTCATGCAGGTCTGGGCCCCGCGTACGAGAGGGTGAAAGTTTCGGCGGGAAAATTGATAACTCGGGAACGAGGAAAGATAGAAAGCTGAAATTTTGAGGTTATGTTCCCCGTCCATATATAACTCAAAGTTTTCAAATTCAGCCTCCAGTCGTACGTAGTTCTCAAGTACAGCCCGTTGGGTTTTTCGGCGGGAAAATGACTAACTCAGGAACAAGCAAAGCTGGGGAGCTGAAATCTTTAAGAAATGTTCCCAGCCCACGTACGAATTAAGGTTATCAAATTCATTTCCTAGGCATGCGCGGTTCTCACGTACGGCCCCGCGAAATTTCTTGGCAGAGAAAATGGCTAACTCGGGGATTAGCAAGGCGGGAGGCTGAAATTTTCAGGGGACTTTCCCAACCCACTTATGACTTAAAGTTATCAAATTCATCCCTCAGGCATGCCCGACTCTCACGTACGGACCGTGAAATTTTTGGCTAACTCGGGAACTAGCAAAGCTGGGAAGCTGAAATTTTCAGGGAATGTTCCCAACCCATGTATAACTTAAAGTTATCAAATCCATCCCTCAGGCACGCCTTGTTCTTACTTAGGGCCCCACGAAGTTTTTTAGCAGTAAAATGGCTAACTCGGGGATTAGCAAAGCTGAGAGGCTGAAATTTTCAAAGAATGTCTCTAGCATAATGCAACATAAACCTATCAAATTCAGCCCTCACCCGAACGTGATTCTCACGTACGGCCCCGTGAAAATTTTTTGGCGGGGAATCGTTAAATAGTTAAACCGCTAAACGGAAATTATTTCCTTTTATGCAAAATTTACGATGATTTACGGTATTGAACGCACAAGGTAGGTGGGAAGAAACAACCGTTCATGCAGTTAACCTAATTACTTCAAGTTTGATGCGAAAACGCATGATCGCATCGGTTTTCCTGGTGCGTTCTAGGTTAGGTTGTTTGCTATATACGAAACAATAAAAAGCGTGACAATATGCGAAGCCATCATAATCCATCATGCAAAGCTTGTAAAAAAATGTTGAGATGCGAACTAACTTTTTGGTGAAGCGATTTTATCATTTAGATTCAAAATTTACTGCTCTTGCTGTTCTGTCTTTACTTTCTTTTTTACGTCTGCATCCGTAACAGTAAGTGATAAAATCTTATGATATGTTGTGATATACGCAAGTGAATATTTGTTAATTGTTAGCTTAATATGCTGTTGCAGACTGGAAAGTGGTGTGTTTGGGAGTGATACAGAGTTTATTCGAAGGGGCTATGTATGTATTTGTTCTGGAGTGGACCCCCGCAATATCGGAGGCAACGGGTAATACCGAAATCCCTCACGGCTACATTTTCGCATCTTTTATGGTTGCTATAATGATCGGCTCATCAATATTCAAGTTATTGAGCAAGTACGATCGACCGGAATCATTCATGAGGTCAGTATGAGACATTTTTTAACAACTGTTTCCGGTTGTAGGTTAGACAAAAATTTTTTCTAGAATCAGCATCCTCTGAGTTGCGAAGGTTCCGCTCAATGGATAGTTCTCCAAAGGATAACTAGTCGTACAAAGTGGACGAAAAGCTCGAAATCTACTTTCAGATATAATGGCCGATAAACGTATTTTTATGCATTTTTATGCGTTTTTGCTGTGCAGCTCTATAGCACTGCTACAGCCAGCAAAAACGCATATTGTCGAGAGGCTGCCTGTGTGTGTGTGTTCGAAGGTGAGTGCATTTTATCATCCACTTTCATCTTAGCAACCAGGAAAACTGGGAAGCTGAAATTTCGAGCATATGTTTTTACCCCATGAGTCACCCTCCTGTTTTAAGATATTCCCCCACACGCGCCTAGACCTCGCATTCGGACCGGCTAAAAAATATGCAAATTTCCTTGGCGGCAGGCGATTTCGCGAACGAGGTAAGGTACAAAGCTGAAGCTTTGCAAGGATATTTTCTGTCTAAGTGCGAACTAAAGATTTCAAATTCAGCTGCCGCGCACTTTTGTGCAGCGCGTACGACCACGTCAAAGTTTGCGACCTGATACTATGCTAACTCGGAAACTTGCTGGAAAACATTGGCTGAAATTTTGTCAGCATGGTTGTTGCTCATGTAGCCAGTCCTATAATGAGTGCCGACTTTCACTTGCGCAACGACTTAGGGCAGTTCAAGGATAATTGTAGGGAAGTGGATATTTCGCCTGTCGGATAAGCTGGGACATTCGCTGGGGTATTCTTTTTTAAGTGCGGTATTAATTCTGCTTGGAGGCGGAATTCCCTCCAGGTAGGCATGAGAAATACGCAACTAAAAATCAGAAACGATGAGTTTTGCAGCGAACGACCGCCCTCATTCAAATATGTAAATGAACATTAGTTCATTTGCATACTCGGATTTTTTTCACAAACGACCGCCCGAGCAATACTTCCACTTTTTAATAAACTGGAGATTTGCATTTTCAATTTTTCAATAAGCTAGCATTTATCGAAAAACGATCGAGCTTCATGCGAAAAACTGGTAATCTTGTACCTGCTGGTCCATGCAGCTCTATAACACAACACCCACATCCCACCCGATGGCCATTCTGCTACATGCTGGAAGAAACCAAAGCGTGGCAATATGAGCCCAAGTGTTTGGCTGCAGTGCAGGAATTATTCCTGCTATTACCGACCCACGAGTAGTGCAAAAACGCATGATTGCATCGGCAAGCCTGGTGCGTTTCCAGCCTAGTTTGCTTGTAAGCAAATGCAAAAACGGTATGTGTATGTATGAATATGTGTGTGCGTCTATCCGGATATTTCAACTAGGCAGTCAAGCAATCTCTGACGCTAAGATTTTGCCATTGGTTTCCCCGGCCAATTGCCACCACAAGACCGCGGTACCGAACGTCATACAAGTCTGGGTTCCGCGTACGAGAGGGTGAAAGTTTTCGCGGGAAAATCGCTAACTGAGGAACCAGAAAAGCTAGAAAGCTGAATTTTTGAGGATGTGTTCCCCGTCCGCACAGAACTCAAAAATTTCAAATTCAGTCCCCATGTGTGCATAGTTCCCGCGTATGGCCCGTGGGGGCTCCCGGCGCGAAAACCGCTAACTTGGGAACCACGAAAGCTGGGGGGCTGAAATCTTCAGGAAATATTCTCAGCAGAAGTACAAATTGCAGTTACCAAAATCAGCTCCTCAGCGTGTGTAGTTCTCACATAGAGCTCCGTAAAAGTTTTTGGCAGGAAAATGACTAACTCAGGAACTAGGAAGGCTGGAAGGCTGAAATTTTCAGAGTATGTTCCACGCACATGTCCAGCTTAAATATATCAAACTCATCTCCCGGGTGCGCGTGGTTCTCACGTACGGTTTCGTGAAAGTTTCTAGTGTGAAAATGGCTAACTCGAGAACCAGGAGGGTTGGGGAGCTGAAATTTTCAGGGAATGTTTCCAGCACACGCACAATTTACAGCTATCAAACCAGCCCTTCAGTATACGTGGTACTCACCTACAGCCCGTGAAAATTTCTGGCAGGAAAATTACTGACTCAACAATCAGTAAATTTGGAAAGCTAACAGTCTACGCAGTATTTGGACAGCTAAAATCTGTCCAAATATTGCGTAGTCTATTAGCTTCCTGGATTTCGTGGACCAGTATTTCTGTTGGGTTCCTGAGCGATCTCATTACAGCATGAAATGTTGCAAAAACCCATGATCGCGCGGGCCCACCCTGTGCGCGTCGCCAATGATTAAATATAAATCAATATGAAAAAATTTTAAGATGAAGCAAGTTATGAGTCTTATGCCTGTCAGAAGATTTGAAGAAAGTCATTTAAGAGCAATTTTGATATTTACTTTCTCGTTCATCGATATAGGCACTGGTAACAGCGTATAACAAAGCGCTATCATTCCGGTCTCCCGGTGCACAGGTTCGCTAGGACGAAATATTTGCTCGGCAGGTTTCGGGCCGACAGACATCCTAATTTCGCATAGCAGACGCAGTTGGAGCCGATACAGTAATAAATCTGAATATGTTTACGGCTTCGTTTCAGGTTTGTTTTGGTATTATCTCTGCTGTGCTTGGGCACGCCGATACTATGGCCGGAAAACGTGCTGGCCGTATTTTTGGCGTTTGTGGTCTTTGAGATATGTGTAGGCATCTTCTGGCCGGCGATGGGCTTCATGCGCGGAATTTACATTCCAGAATCTACTCGAGCCACAATCATGAATTTCTGTCGCGTACCACTGAACTCCATTGTTATTTTCCTGTTGCTGCAAAATTTACCGCAACAAGCCATTTTCCTTTGCTGTGTTCTGTTTCTGGTGTGTGCTGCTGCTGTTCAGCAATATTTGCACAGGTATGTTACTCTTTGCCCGTTCATGCTTAGTGTGAAAAAGTGCAGATCAAATATCGCCATTCACAAAAATATAACATTTAAGCTTATCTCAAAAGTATGCAACTATTCGGCAAAACAAAGGTTGTGCTGTAGGGGAGTAGTACATGTCTTTAGTGCTGACTAATGCGTCTATCGCTTCTGCCACTAACTGCTTTTAGCAGAGGCACGAAAAATCTTGTTCAGGATCTATCAGGATCAACTGCGTAAGTTGTTAAGAATCAACCAACATCTGTAACTGGTTTGCATGTTTATTAACCAAAATCCGGTGGCCTGTCTATGCGACTGCTGCTTTTGAAAACCACTGTTGTTGCCTCTTGTGGTGGCATTGTCACCTATTACAAGCTTCCTTTAAAAAAATTCATTCGGTACTACCATGTCTTCCTTCACCAGTTTGATCACGTGCACACTGTTCTGAAGTAACTTTAAACCGTTTTAGATCAATACTGAATTGCACCCGACAGTTTTGCTTTATTCCAAAGCATCATCTTAATTAATCACATTTATGAGGTCCGTCACATTTATGAGGTCCATTAGTGTTGCTGAATAGGAATGTGTGCTTACTTTCGTAAATGCAACCCAGGTTGCAACACCCAAGCTTGCCGGTGCGATCATGCGTTCTTGTGCTAAGCTTGCAGATCGCCAACAGCAAGAATGGCCCTGCGCTATACTTAGACTTATATTGGCTATATTTTGGCGCCTTCTCATATGTAGGGGGAAAGGGCGTCATCTCGGACGGTGTTGAATTACGGGACCGCATGGACCTCCAGCGTGCATAATTATTAGCTTTTATGCGTTTTTGCATATGTGCAAATGCAAAAACGTATATTTGCAACAGGCTGCGTGTATCTATGTGTTCACACTTTTTGTCGCCCACTTAAACTCGAGAACCAGAAACAATAAAAGGCTGAAACTTCGAAAGTATGTGGCTACACCAAGTGCGACTCTCCCATTTTTATGCGTTTTTGCCTATATGCAAATTGCAAAAACGCATATTGGGACGACCCTGT